TTGGAAGTAAGAAAATCAATTAGTGTCTGATTCCCATTTTCACTGCTCTGCAAGTGTGAAACAGTCCAAGCTGGTGCTAACAGCACATTGCCTGAAGGTCGGAGTTATCTCCCAGGTCTCTGAGCAGCTTTGACATCAAAACCAGGAAGAATGATGGAAGACTGGTCCTCTGCACAGCAACACAAGTATCATGTGAGTTAGTCTGTGTACGGGGCACCTCTCTGGAAGAAACTAGTCTAACGCTAAGAAGAGTCTGAGCTACACACAGTTCTTCGACTGGTTCAAATGTTCAGACTCAGAGCTGCTACTTTGTTTAAATTCTTCATTTTATAAAACCCATAGCTTATTAGGAATTTGATTCATAACGGTAAAATCCTTACCAGTTAAACGTACTCCTTTTTCGTACAAAAATAATTGCAAAAGTATAACACAATTTCATACCAACAAGAGCAAGTGAAAATTTTCTGATGAAGAAAATGCTCCATGAGGAACTTCACAGTAATCACAATATTTTGTGGAGACATACTGTCTGTAACTAAATGCTACAAAATATTTTGCAAGAACTTTTCATACAAAGAGAAGAAAAATCAGAATAAAAGGTTCTTTTCATCTCACTTAATTCCATGTTGAAAAAACACTTTAGTATAGGGAACACTGCAGTAAATGGAACAAATCAGTAAATCACGCCCTGTGTCACATGCTCTTCCCGTGGACTATCCTGCCATTTGTTAACACTCTTAGCCCATAGAACTGTCAATAGCTAAGGTGATGCTATACTGTGTAAGAAACAGTTTTCTTTTAGGATCTTGGCTCAGCTGTTGAGACAAAGGGGCAGTGGTCCTGCTTCACTCTGTTAAAATGGTGCCAGGATTGTAGGTGCTGTATCCCTGGTCCTCACTATGGCTGGCTAAATCTGTAAAGCAGGACCTATTAATTTATTTTACTTCACAGTGCTTCCTTTCCTCCCTCTTTTGCAAGATGAAAGAGGGGAGTATGAAAGCAATTAAGATGAGGCTCAGCAGCTGTCTGATTCTCAGAAAGGAGGAAAAAAAGGTATTTTTCTAATGCTGCACTAACACCATTCCTCAGTAGAGAGCAAGTAAACCCCAGCTCAGAAGCAGCTGTCTTCTACAAAACACTTCAGCAGGTTGAATCAGACTTAAGTCAAGGGACTTACAGCTAAAAGAAATTATCTATTAGGAGGTGCCATAATATAGTAAGTTGGATCTTCTTATCTGGGAGCCAGTTGCCCTGCTGAACTTTCTTTCCCTCATCTCATGGCAATCCTCAGAAGATATTGAGAGGAAGAGTCCAAATGATCCACTTTACCAGAGGCAGGGAGGTCCATCAGATGAATACTTGCCTGGCACACAACAAATCAGTCAAGGTACAGGAGGTGATGATGGAAATGACAGTTAGGCAGACTGTAAAGCTCGTTCTGTAAGTTGAGTACCACT